TTTTTACTGCTTTTTTTTTTTGTTTAGTTAAGCTTAGAATGGCCTTTCAGGTGCGTTCCAGTGAGTTTGCATGTGTTGTTGAGGCATTCAAGTACGATCGGGTGCAGCTAAAATGACTAGCAGTATTTTATTTTTATTTGTTCTGACTGCATCGCAATGGACTGCACTGTGAGCAGAGCACCAGAAATCCCATTGTAAAGCATTGTGATGCGATTTTGATGCAGCTGCCAAACTGAATGGACTGGATCAGAACAACATCTGGTGTGAACTAGCCCTAAAGGTTGTGTTCTACACTAAACTGATTTTGTCCCTTTTTTTTTTTTTTTTTTTCTTTTAATTTACTTTTAGGGAACTGGCTCACGAGCTTGATGTCCCTTGGGTGGAATATTGGGAGTTTTTAGGTTGTTTTGCTGATCTTTCTTCCCAGGAAGGTTTGGGGAGGCTTGAGGAATACCTGAGCAAGAAGGAGGTGAATGAGAGATTGCAAATGGACCACGATTATGAAATCTGCAACAGATATAGAACTCCATCTCCAGCAGGTAGGCATCTTGCAAAAAGCATGCAGTTCTTGATAACGTGCAAAAACCATTAGGTGCATGTGCCTGATCAGTGTGGTGGCACTTAATGCTCATATCTTGTTCCTTAATGTCACTCGCACTTCTTGCTAGTACACTACAGTAAAAGAATCATTTGTAGTGATCGCCCTTAATATTTGTTTTGGCAAATTGGTATGTGTGTGATCCGTAATTGCATTCCTTTCCCCCCTTTTTTTTTTTTTATACAGGAAGAAGTAAAAAGTTCTGCAATTCTGTTTCTGTGGGAGCATTCTTGGAGGATGATGATGAAGACATGAGTCTTGAAGAAATAAAAAACAGACAGAATGCAGCATTGAAGAACAGCTCATCTGTGGAGTCAATCACAGCACCAGAATGCATCATGGACACTACACCAATACCCAGCAGTCCTCGTAAGGAAGGATCCAAGCATGGTTACTGCAGCCCTTTGAGCAGTGACTGCAGGCATCAGCAGGATTTTGAGCACAGGATATTATCGCCTGTGTCCAACCTCTTATCTGAGTTTGAAAAATTGTCATTGTCGGAACTGAACGAAGATGGTGAGGGATCTTCTCATACTGATTTGGCTGTGCACAGGCAAAGTAGAATAAATGCACACATTGAATCCAGTAGCTCACTGACCAGGACAGAAAGTTCAAGTGTGTTGCAGGCTGGTGAAGCCCTTTCCAACATCAGCCTCACAGGCAAACTGTCTCTGGGAAACAGCAATGAGCTGCCATTCTCCAACTTCTGTTCTGAATTTCCTGCTCCACAAGTAATTATGAAAACGCCATCAAAACACCAATGTGCTAAAGCAACATTTCTACTTGGGTATGTATGCTGTATTGTGTTTTAAGGAAATATTTAAGTCCTAAACTTTTAACCACTTACCTTTGCAGCTTTATCAAAATAACATTGAGTAAACTGGGGGTTCGGTTCGAGTTTTCGGCCAGGGTCACTATCTGCAAGGGGTTTGCATGTTCTCCCTGTGCTTGCATGGGTTTCCTCCAGGTACTCCGGTTTCCTCCCACACTCCAAAGACATGCTGGTAGATTAATTGGCTCTTCTCTAAGTTGGCCCTCTTTCTATGCATGTGAGATGGGGACCTTAGATGGTAAGCTCCTTGAGGGTAGGGACTGATGTGAATGTGCAACTATGTAAAGTGCTGTGTAAATTGTCGGCACAATATAAACACCTATAATAAAAAACTTGGGCCTTGTATGTTGGCATACGTTATGCCGTAATGTATACACTGTTGTGTATGGATGGGGTGCTATGTTGGTGCCCGAATGTTACTGTTATGTAATTATTTACTATGCAAAATTAATAAAAGTTTTTTCAAAAAAAAACTTGGGCCTTAAAGTGACATTAAACCCTCAGATTTTTTAACATAAACCAATACTGTAATGTGTGCCTTACTGTAATCCATGGTTGTTTCCCTTCTCTTTGCTGCTCTTCCCTTTTAAATCCTCATGTCTTCTCATGCTTGGGGAGAACTTCCCTTTGCAGCTGAGTGCCTCTTCCTGTAGTGCTGGCTCAGGTTGCAAACGTACACACAGACACCATGTATCCATTTCAGAGACAAGGCAGTCTGCTGCAAAACAGAAGTTCTGCTCAGCATGAGAACAGATACAGATTTAAAAGGAAGAGCAGCAAAGAGAAGGGAAACTACCATAGATTACAGTAAGGCACACATTACAGTATTGTTTTATGTTAAAAAATCTGAGGGTTTAATGTCACTTTAAGTAACATTTATATAAAATTACATCTGATTCGCAAACCTAAAACATTTATTTTCCATAAAGCAAGTGTATTTCTCCAGGGCTCTTTCCATAAGTTAAGTATGCACCGCAGACCAGCAAAACTGTGTCCCATTTACCAGCTTTGGCAGGTCAGCTGTCGCTCTTTTCTCTGTCCACACCAGAATCTTTTTTTCCTCGGTTCCCTTTTTTTTTTTCTCCACCTTCCTTTTACTCGGTCTCTTAGCAGTTAGATTTCTTTTTTTCATTTATAGTTCTGTTTTAACCAGTTGCCGTCCGCCCGTTGTAAAAAAAATGGACGGACGGCACTGCTGCATTGGCGGGTTGCCGTCTCCGGACGGCATTTTGTTTCTGCTCGCGGGCGCGCACGGGCAGAAAAGACCCGTGCAATGCAGACACCCGTTACCGGTTGTTTCACATATAGACGATCGGCGGCTCTATAGCCTGCCGATCGTCTATATGTGCTCGTTTTTTCGGTCCCCCGCTCGTTTCTTCGGACCGTCTGCTGCCTGCACCCCCTCCTGACCCCTCACCTTCAATCCCGGGATCCGCTGCCCCATCTGCGGCTCGGGAGGGCGTCAGGAGGAAGAGGAAGGGATACAGCTCCTTGCTGACCTCCCTCCGGGCTGTGAATGCAGAAGTGATGTGTATTACATCACTTCCGCATTCACCTGTCAGTCATCTGGCTGCTATAGCCAGAGAAAAGAAGCTGATGAAGCAAAAAAATGTAAAAAAAAATAAGTCACATAAAAAAGTTTTTAAAAAAACCCCAAAATGTTTAACTCCCCCACCCCCACGTTTACGCACATATAAACGTAAATATGCGTCCGGTGCACCAGCGCTCGAAAACAATTGCGCTACACAGGTTACATATCGCCGCGAACGTCGCAGTGAGAGCAATAATTTTAGGGCCATCAATCACTGATAATGTTATTGTTTTTTGAGGTTTCGCGCGCACACACAATTTTAAGGCTTGATATGTTTGGTGTCTTTTTACCTGACGTGACCCCGTCTTTTATATTTTACAAAAAAATTGGGTAATAATAAATGTTTTATCATTTAATATAGGGGAAACAGTTTTTTGTTTTTAATTTCGGTAATTTTTCCTTAATATAGTAAAAAATAAAAACCCCAGTGGTGAATAAATACCACCAAAAGAAAGCTCTATCTGTCCCCAAAAAAATGTATAAAATTAATTTTCAGTACAGCGTTGCATGACGGAATAAATGTCAAAGTACCGCAGCGCTGAATACTGAAAAATGGCCTGGCCAGGAAGGGGGTTTAACACCGCGGATGTCAACTGGTTAACGTAAACCATCAGCAGAACGTATGACCTGCTATTGCTGACTTCTACCTCCAAACTGCAAGTTTCCTCGCTGTTCTCTAGACACACTGGTGTAAATGCTTTGACTTTCTCTTTACCAATCTGCATAATTGTTAGTGTCTCAAATGCAGGCCACAACTCCTCATCTGCATACTTATTCTGGGATATTAATGGAAAGTATTGAAGCATGAGGGTCCTCATGACAGATGTGGCTGACAAGTTTAAGAATGTTCTTTGTGTGCTATATCTCTGGAAAAATCTTTACATCAATGTTGTTAGTTTTGAATGCAAGACTGAAGCTTGCACTTGCTAAGGAATTAAGTAGCATTCTCAGTTGCAACAAAAGTATTGCTAACTTTCTGTCCTATGATGACTTGTTACATCATTATCTTTTTGGTTTCAGGAAAGAGCCTTCCAAGCTAGACAGTGATGTTTTAGCAGCTGTAGAAAAGGTAGACATTGATGCTCAAAAGTACCCCAGTATTTCCCGGTGGATTAAAGATGTTCGGTCTTACTCCAGTACAGAGCGACAGAGGTATTGTAAGATCAATGTAAAGCTTTCTTTTGGCCTTTTGCTTCTTTAATGTGATTTTGCTAATGATTTTGTCTGCTTATCCTTGTTTTTTCTAGTTGGCCAAGCCCTGCTGTTTTATTGGGAAAGAACAAGTCTCAAATCTGTAGTTCTAACTCCCCGAGTGGCCTTGGCTTTTCCACTCCTGGACGGAGCAGCCCCATTCCAGGGAGTCCTGGGAAATATGTGAACTCATCTGATTACAGCAGCCCAGGAAGGTACAGCCCAGCATATGCCAGCCACATTCAGCTGCTGCGAATACGTAATTTCTCCGATCACTCTTCCCTTTAGAATGCACATCTATCCTTTCCTGTTTGTAAGCCCTGGCAATCAACCTGGGGCCCGTTGACAATTTGGAAGAAAGATTTAACCGGAATTTTTGTGGATGTTTACCAATCACAGCCAAGGCTCACATCCAGCATTTAAGATAATTGCTGTTTGTCTCCAGTAGCGGTGCTAGTTCTTGGAGCTGGCGCATCACTGTGCACAATGATGCAAAGTCTGCTCTGACAGGTTCCATTTAACAAAGTATAAAGACGCAGTCACATAAGTAATCTGCTGCAAGCATGAACCAGGTGGAGAGCATTCCTTTTCACCTAGCAATGGAAGTACTGAAATGGTGTTTAAAACATATTTGTGCAACTTTGATGTTTAAAAAAAACTGTAGTAGTCACAGTCAGGAAATTTGCCAATCAATTGGCATGCGTGTCTGTTAGCTGAAGAAATGATTAGTTACGCTTGGCTAGTGAATCACTCAGCAATAACTTGTAGTGTGTACCCATGTTTGTAGGGCACTCGTGTGCCCTCTTCTGAAGGTGCTAGTGCTAAATGCCCTGCACCAGTCCAGTGTTTGAGTCCCACATGCATGTATCTAGTAATGATCAAGTGCAGACACCAAATGCAAATGTTTTAGTGGCCTATCTTTTAATTTCTTATTTTGTATTTTTAAAATATTATGCCATTTTCATAAGAAAAACCTGTTCTGATATTTTTTTTTTTTTTTAAAGTTGATGGATGTGTTGTAAAGAAAATGTTGACATATTGGACCCAATCTGACCAGTATTGGTAATGACAGGGTTGTTTTTTCCATGTATTGTCCAGTATGCACTGGAAAATGTCGCTACTGTCTCTTTTAAAAAAAAAAAACTGACACTTTGAAAAAGCTCCAAGGTATTTTGTACCAGTCTGAAAGTGTGATAATGTTATATTTTTTGCAGGCTGGAGGTTAGGTAACTGGTATATTTACAAGCTACACGATAAAATCTCCATAGTTTTAAAGAGACTTTGTTAGGGAAGTGACTTGGGACTGCTGCAGGTGTAATGTGCGCCTCGTACCCGCAGCAGCCTATCAAATCCACCTTTCACAGCTAAATATCAGGCTGTTCTGACAGGCAAAGCTCCACACTTCAGGTAGTGTTGGGAGTTTGCCACTAAGCCCGGCCCCTGCACATTCCTTTTGGCTCATCCTTTTGATGGGCAGCCTCACTGGCCAGTGAGCATGTGCTAGTATGAAGCTTCATCACTGTCGGGAAGTACTGATTCTTTGGCCAAGAGGTTGAGATTTGGCTGCAACGGGAAGGTTTTGAAGACTTCTCTATATATATCTATATCTAATATATAGATATATATGAGATATTCCGGAATA